AGAAATGTCAAATGATGCTCTGGGTGCAGCCACACAAGCTGTCAACCATCAGGATGAGGCTAGTGCAGCCTGGTCTATGGGTATTTCATTTGAATAGGCCACATTTTCTGCCATATTTCCTGCTGTGATGCATCTACGTAACACAATTTAGTACGCTAGCTAATATTGCTAGCCCAGCTCTGGCTTTGCTTCCTGTTCAGCTGCTCCATCCGGAGAACATGTGATTCGTACACATATGGGAGTATGTGCAGAGGGGGGAGGGGCGATCAGAGGTCAGTTTGATGGACTGATCATGGTCCAATGGTGTTCAAAACAATTGGATGAGGTTTTTCCAGGATTGCCCGTTTCTGAGGCGATTCAAATTTTAAAAAGTTTGCAACCTTTTGGTTACCATCAGCATGTGAATAGCATTTCATGCCATGTGGCAAACAATGCTCCAGAACATCTCCTACCCATTTTTTAAAATGCCGTGTCTGACTGGTTGAACCAGTCAGGTAGCTTGCTAGCCACTTTCTGAGTGCCTGTTAAATATTTACTCTGCCTAAAGTTATAAAGCCTGTATGATCCTTTAAAGTTCAAAGGCTTAATTACCACCATCTGATTGTGGCTGACTTATGAAACATGAGCTGGTGATTTGTTCAAAGGCACTTTGATGGTATCTTCTCCCAGGACGTAGCTGTTATCTGCGTCACAACAATTGAGCTCCGTAGGGAGAGGGCTAACGGGGTTTTTTCTTGTGCACACTGACTCGGATCACATCTGAGGCTGTCCAACCAGTGAAACCAGTGTGAACACTCACCATCTGTGTCTCATTGCCTGCTGATTTTACCCGTAGCATTACTGCAGTAAAATGTGTCTCTAGACAAGAGCGTAAGGAATGGAGGATCACATGCCTAAAAGGGGTTTTCCAAACCCTGGAAACAAAACAAAACATCATCATGTAGTCTGTGGCCCAGAGTCCTTCCTGCACGAAACAGATTGTTTTTCAGTTCATTATTTATTTTCTCTGAACCATGTCCTTTATTGGGTTTTGTGAAATTGTTGTTTTTTTTGTTTTAATCTGCTTTGTCAGATACACTGAAGATTCGGTTACTGCAAGATAACATTATCTTCGTTTACTGTACACACACACACACACACACACACACACACACACACACACACACACACACACACACACATGCACACACACACACACGGACAAGTAATGTGTCTAATGCATAATAAAGTATCTATGACATTATAATATTATATTTGATTCATTATATATCCTGTTCTGTCCAATCCATTATGACTACTGAGAAATCCATTGATGCATCCATGCTGCTCAGTACCAGAAATGAACTGATCTCAGTTACCAAAAGAGCCAATCAGCTGGCAAAGATGCTGCCTATGTTAAGCACTTTGTGACTCTGTGATAAGTGCTATATAAATAAAATTTACTTACTTACTGTTGAACATGTGAGCATGCAGAACTTGCTAAAGTACGTGACTCAGTTTGAGGAACAAAGTAGAATCCAACTGTTATTTATTTGTTGTTGATGTTTACAGAACCTAAATACATCTGCATGGCTTTAGGCTCAGGGCAGAGTTTTATACGTCAGACCGACTAGATCATGACCTGTTATTAATAATATCATGTGGTTTTTACACTAATCAGAAAAATATGTAATGAACATCCAATTCTTAGAAATAAAATAAATATAAAAATTAAAAATGACATATTCTTATTTTCAATAAAATATTAGTTTTCTGTAAAGACTTTTTATATTTGATGTTGTCCAGCTTAAGCAGATATTTAACAGAGCTGAGCTGTGGGAGAAAATATTCAAACTTTTTAAACCTTGTTTTCTATCACGTACTGTGGGTTTAGTGTACTTATTAACTTTCTATTAATTATACAATTATAAATAACAGGTCACTACAGTCTGGGCATAGAAAGTATTTCAGTAGGAACTAAAGGTTGGTTTATGCTTGACGCGTTCGCGAGGTCCGCACAGCTCCGCGAAATTGCGTCATTTTAACAACCACGCCCCTCCACCGCGCCTCTGCACGGCCCAAAATTTCCGCAACGCGCACCTAGGAAAATTTCTAACCACGCGGACGGTCGGACGCGGAAAAACATGGCGGACCGGCAAGAACTAATATGGCAGAGGTTCGTAAATACAGACATTTGTATGATTCAGCTCTCAAAGATCACCGTGATCAACATGTTGTTAATAATTCTTGGAGAGAAATAGCTCGCACTGTTGGAAAAGATGAGGACGCTGTTAAAAATGCTGAAATGCCATGTTGTAAACAGTAATTTCTACTTCTACTATGGTGTAGTGTTGGATGCATGCTGTAGAGCTCCATGCTGCCCCCTACAGTTTGGGAAAATATTGGCTCACCGCGGAGACAAGCCACATGAACCATAAACGCTGCGAGTTGTGAAGCGCGTTCCATCCGCGAGCCGCATCACCAAGCAGAAAGTGTATGTGTCAAGCATAAATCAAGCTTAAAGCAGTAGCTCATCAGCAGCAGGTGATCAACACCGGCCCAAAAACACAACAAAAAACAAATAACACCGACCAGACCGGCCCACCGGGTATTTCTCCAGTCTAGTCCTGGTTACCTGTATACGCTGCATACCCACGTTTTGCTCCACTGGCTGCAGGTATTAGAAGAAGAAAATATCATTTCTATAGCGCCTCTCAAGATAAAAATCACGAGGCGCTATTAGGTATTAGGTTTGACCCAGCCAGCACATTAGGCGCTTCTTACCTTGGCTAAACTGAAGCTATTTATTGTTTTAGATTTGAGTTTATTTCTGGGATACAGGAAAGGCCACATGTCTGGATAGACTTGTGTTTCTCTCTCTCTCTCTCTCTCTCTCTCTCTCTCTCTCTCTCTCTCTCTCTCTCTCTCTCTCTCTCTCTCTCTCTCTCTCTCTCTCTCTCTCTCGCTCTCTCTCTCTCTCTCTCTCTCTCTCTCTCTCTCTCTCTCTCTCTCTCTCTGTGTGTGTGTGTGTGTGTGTGTGTGTGTGTGTGTGTGTGTGTGTGTGTGTACAGTAAACGAAGATAATGTTATCTTGCAGTGTGTGTGTGTGTGTGTGTGTGTGTCATCAGGGGTTTGGAGGGGGGTCAATTATGTAACTGCATACCCTTCTGGAAATAGATAGTTGAGACCCTGCCGGTAGCTAAAGGAAATCAAAAGTAAAATTTGGACTCACACAGAGGATTAAGTTTAAAATAAAGAGCTTAGTGAAGTGGTGAACTGGTCCAGGAGCATGTGACGCACTTGTCCAGTTAAACAACTGCCAACAACCCCTGGTGAGTCACAGAAGAGACGTTTGACGTAAAAGACCTGGAATCTGTGAAACTCAGCTCTTCTCACGTTAGTTTAGTTTATGGTTAATATCGGTTATTTTAATATTTTGTAGTCGGGAAACATCAGACACCAACCTCCAAGCCCCCTCACCAGTAAAGATTTAGGTTTTAGATCAATAAAATGACGTAGTAAACCTTTCTACATCTGAGTCAGAATGAAGGATTTTAAATTGCGTTAGATTTTAGGGTTTTAGTGTAAATGCTTCTGGTTTCACTGGAAGAGAAACCAGAACTGGACTCTTCCTTTAAGAGAGAAATAAAAGCATCAAGCAGGAAAGAGACAGTAAACAGAAACCTGAGCTGATTTTACCATTTAGAATTAATGATCTGATCTGAAACTGAGAAATCAAAATTTATCCTTATTTATTTTCCTATGAAATTAGGAAACTTAGCTTATATAAAGATAAAGACTAAAACACATACATATGTGCTAAAATGTGACAAATAATTTAAAATTGTGAATTTATTTTTTAAACATCCGACATGTTTGTGTGACCTTTCTGATTGTCCAAGAAAAAAGCAATAAAGGGTCTTCAGAAGGTTTTTTTCGTTTGTTTGTTTGTTTGTTTTGGACCTAATTTTCACATTAACTCAAACCTGCTGTTTCTACCAATTCTGCCCTCATTAGGGTTTCTTGTTCATTTTCGTCTTCCTTCACATTGTTTAATCTAATTTTTTCCCATTTTTTAAATATATTTCAAAATCCTTTATTTTTGTTTTCTGTTGTTGTGAAGAGCCGTGCAATTTTTATCTTGAGAGGCTCCAGTCCAATCCAATTTTATTTATATAGCGCATTTAAAAACAGCATGTCAGCTGACCAAAGCACTGCACAGAGTTAAACCTAAAAAGCCATTCAAAATACACATACATACACATTAAACGCAGATAAAAGCTGTCATAAAATAGAAACACCTAAAAACAATACAAATGTACAAAACAGCCCCCATGTGGTGGGGGTGTTTTTCAGCTGCAGGGACAGGACGACAGGTTACAGTTGAGGGAATGATGAATGCAGCCAAGTGCAGGGATATCCTGAATGGCCCAGCCAGAGCCCTGACTTAAACTTCATTGCCTCTAAAATTAATTTAACTGATTTTAGCAAACAGCTGCAATATAACAGAGTGAAACATTGACGAGGGTCTGATTACCTTCAGAACCCACTGTTCATGGTGGTGGAATAACTCACACATTGAACAGTATTAAGTAAACAAAAGTCTCATGCAACATTGTACAGGTTTAAAAACAGGAAAGGCAGCATTCCAACACATCAGTGCGGCTTTATTGTGCAGAGTTGTTTTAAATACTGGGTATAAGTTGTTGCCCATCTGGCTGGCTGTGCACCACTTCCTGTCTTTAGAGACTGCTCGTTTTAAATATTTCGCATGCAAGTCTGTTCATTACTGTAGACGAGTAACTGCTAGAACATGTGCTGTTTTTAAAATGCCAAATTTGAATGTAGCAATAAGGACTTTGATTTGAGAGATAAAATTTTAATCCATCCAAAGTCTGTAAGACGTTTTTTCCCAGTTAGCTTTAGAAGTCCAAATTTAAATCGCCTCACTGTGGGTAGCTAAAAGCTTTTTCATCTGAAACATGTTGGAACCCCAAAGGACTCTGTTCATCTGTCTGCAGGCCAGCGCTCAGAAGGAGCTGGAGGAGAGCTGGCAGGTGTACGCCGAGCTGCAGCGGCTGGTGGAGCAGAGTCAGGCTGATCTGGTGGAGCTGATCGCCACCAGGCAGCGGGAGGCAGAGCGCCACGCCCAGGAGCTGGCTAGAGGTCTGGAGAACGAGCTTAGCCACCTGAGGAAGAGGAGCAGCGAGCTGGAGGCCTACGCTTACACCAAGGATAAAGTGGTCTTCATCCAGGTAGCCCAGGGTTTTACATCACTCACACGTTCACAAACACTTTTTAGTTAATGTAGAGGAGATCATGAGTCCTAGGAGTGATTAAGATTGGTACATTCAGTCTGATTCGATCTCACACAGAGTCTGTGCTCGTTGTCACCTGGGCCCGAGGCCACGGACTGGTCAAGCGCCAGCGTTAACACTGACCTCTATCTGGGAACCATCCGCTCCTCCGTCAGCTGCCTCGTGGACAAGTTCCAGGAGGAGCTCAAGAGACTGTATGGAAAAGGTGACTGTGATGATCAGCACTTTTCTTACATTTCCTATCTGAACACGTAAGACTCCGTCGTGGACTTTACTTGGATAACAGGAGAACATTGTTTGATTGTATAATTGGCTAATGAAAGCCAACTCCTCACTGACTTTCCTCTGATGACAAAGTGATGTTTGCGTTTTCAAATTTGTGTTTGAGATTCTTGAGTTTCATCACAAAAGTCTGGCTCATCTCTGGAGTCCTGAACATACTGGGGGGGAAAAAGAAGCAGGAATGTTTCTCTTAAACACGTCACAGGTGTTGAGTCTTAAAGCTATAATCGCAAATCTGCAAAACAAGCTAGCTTAAAACATTTTTCATGGCTCATGACAACGTTCTAACATAGAACAGCTATAAATAAATTGTGGAGATAAAAAAAGTGGTTCTCTCGCACTTATCTAGAACCCTCCACTAATAACACTTCTTGGACTGAAAGCCACTGTTGTCTGGTTGTTGTCACCAAACCACCACACTTCCCTGGGTCCTCCACTCATTACACACACTCGTGTGAGAGGATCTCCGCTCAATAATATCAGAGAAGGAGAAACAGCCGGCTGCTACCACTTCAACTTTAGGACAAATTACCAGAGTCCCCCAAAAAGAAAAACACCATCAGCAGTCAAGGAGAACAAAAGACGTTTGGACCTAGACAACAGCAGCTGGTGTTTAGCTTTATCTCATTTCCTCTAATAATGTGGGTCTACGGTTAGCGTTCTGGCGGAAGCGTCTCAGAGAAGATACCCGAGAGGAGGGGCGAATGTTCTGTCGTTGTGTTTGCATAGAAAACCTAGCTTGTTCTGTAGATTCGCTAAAGCAGCTTTAAGTCTTAAGAAATGTAAACCTATGAAAACAACGTGACTGGAGACAAAAAAGACGAGACACAAATTAGTTGCGACTAAATTTTAAGTGGAATCAAGACTAATTGTACTAAATGAAATTTTTATGAAATATTTTGTGAGGGGAAAAAATCTCCACATTTGGATTATTTTAGGCTATAGAAGTGACTTATCTTTATGTTCCCCACCGTGTCCCAGAATGCCTCGTGGACCTGATTACAGGTCATTGTGTCGGGTTACCTTCACACAAAACACTCTGGAGTTCTTTGTTCACAGGAACCACACCGAGGTGGAAAGGGTTCGACTTAAACAGACTTGGACAACAGCAGTAGTGAAACAAGTACTTGATTAATTTTACTTAAGTAAAAGTACAGGTAAAGGGGTAAAAATACTTGAGTAACATAGAAGTGTGCTGTCCCGACTATTTGTGATTTTTAGGTTCAGGTTTTCTGTTTCTGTACTTTTCTTCTACATTTAACTGCACTAGTTTGTATTTTCTACTACATTTCTAAAGAAAATTCAAAAGCAAAAGTACTTAAATTTGAGTTTTGTCCAACTTTTTCATTACCACCAACGAATACCAGTATCGGACGGACCAGTATGCTGGGAGTCCACCTGAAAATTTGCATACTTTCTTCATTTTCCCCATGATTTGGATAAAAAGTGATTACATAATCGTATGTAGTTGGATTCGTCTATGAGCTGTCAGTAAAACAGGATATGGTAAATGATCTGTATTGGTATAGTGCCTTCTCAGGGTTCTATAACCCCCCAAGGCGCTTCACAACACAATCAGTCATCCAACCATTCACCGCCCCCCCCGCCCCCCCCCCCCGAAAAAATTCAGCCTTATTCAATGAGATGTGGGAGTTTCAGTGGGTCTATCTATTTTATTTATCTCACATACAAACAGGCTTTGCTTTGCACCCATTTGGATTATCTATGCAAATGTACCCATCCTCCCTTGGCTGACACAACCCACACTCATAACCCAAATCAGCCATATGTAGGCCAATTTGGTCTCTGGAGTCAGAATGATGGTGAGCAGCGCACTGACACACACACACACACACACACACACACACACACACACACACACACACACACACACACACACACACACACACACACACACACACACACACACACACACACACACACACACACACACACAGACACACAGACACACACACACACACACACACACAGACACACAGACAGACAGACAGACACATGATGGTGGGTGACGGTTAAGTGCTCGCCCCGTAATCGGAAGGTTGCAGGTTCAAGCCCCGTTCAGTCTGCCATTGTGTCCTTGGGCAAGATACTTAACCCACCTTGCCTGCTGATGGTGTTCGGAGGGAATGGTGGCGCCAGTGCTCGGCAGCCTCGCCTCTGTCAGTGCACCCCAGGGCAGCTGTGGCTACATCGTAGCTCATCCCCACCAGCGTGTGAATGTGTGTGTGAATGGGTGAATGATTGTGTTGTAAAGCGCCTTGGGGGTTCAGGACTCTAGAAGGCGCTACCTCAAATATAGGCCATTTACACACACACACACACACAGGATGGTTGAACAGATGGGAGCTGCTGCAGCTCGGCTGCTGACCGCAGCACGTGTCATGAGCGTTTACAGCTCTGGGATGGAGATACACGTTTAGCACCCGCTGTCACCATCTGCTCTGGCTTTGAGTGACTGGCTGATTAATTTAGCTGTTTTCTCTGTTTCAGAGCTCAGAAAGGTGCAGAACTATGCAAGTGAGTAACACCTTCACCTTTTTCTGGATGGTCATATGTTCTTGCCCATTTGTTAGGAAGATTAATTTCTTCCACGTGACCACAAGATAGAGCCACCTCTTTGCTGTAGATGTGAGCTGATTCTGTTAGCATGCGTGCTGTTTATTCATGTGTCAGATCTACAGACCAACATGTTATACATTTGGAGGTTGAAGTTCTATTATTAGATTCCTGCTTTGCTTCTTGTGTCCAGGTGAAGTGATTATGGATCCGTCCACGGCTCAGAAGAACCTGGTTGTGTCTGATGATGGCCAGCAAGTAAAATACGACGAGCACAAGGGTTCCCACTCGGAGAGTACAAAGCGCTTCAGCCCAGCCCTCTTTGTCTTGGCCCGGGAGGGGTTCGGGTCTGGCCGACACTACTGGGAAGTGGATGTGTCGCGTAAAACGTCCTGGACCCTCGGCGTGGCTCGAGCCTCGGCCCGTCGCAAGGGCGAGATCAGTCTGAACCCAGAGGGCGGTTTCTGGTGCCTGTGGCTGAAGAACGGGGAGATGAAAGCTCTGGCCGTGTCCCGCCTGCCTCTAATGCTGCCAACCAGCCCCACCAAAATAGGAATCTTCCTGGATCACGAAGCAGGTCAGGTTTCATTCTACGACGTGAAGTCGCGGCTACACCTCTACACCTTTAAGGACAGCTTCAACGAGAACGTCCACCCCATCTTCAGCCCCTGTCTGGCCCAGGACGGGAAGAACAGCTCTCCTCTCATCATAACCCACATTAAACACAGCTGAGGAAGTCATTTACTACGTCCTCGTCTCAGAGTCTCTGTACCAGAACTGTCCTTGTTTGTAAAGTACCAACGGTCGGGGCTTCACGTCTGCATGACACTCTCACAGACTGTTGAACGATTATTAGTGTTGTACATTTAATCCCTCAGAAGCTGGGGGAATTTTTGCAGCTTTTCTCACGTCATGAACAAGAACCTGTGATGTAAGAACACCATACCTGACCCTTACTAATTTGAAGGTCCGAACACACTACTGAATAACAGCTGCTGGAATCAGATCCAGGTAAAGATGCAACACCTTTAGTGTTTTCATCAGTAAACTGAATTTATCAGGCATCAACCTCAGTCACCCTAAATGTCATGTCTAGAGCCAGCTACAGGATCCAAATGAAGCTGTATTCATAGTTTATTTATAACTTTTTATTAGGAATGTTTTATATTATACCACAACTTTTTTTTTCCTGGAACTGCTAAAAAAATTATTACTGATCACTTTAATTTCTTAGCCTGGGAATAATTACTGTTTTTATGTATCATGGGGTAATGAGTAAAGCAAGTTCTAATGTGTTTTATGTGTTTTACCAACACACAGTAAGGATCAGCTGAATCCTCTAGACCAAAGGTGTCCTAAAATTTAAGATGAGGGCCAACACGGTTAAAGCTCTCATGAACTAGTTTTTTTCAATACATTTGTTGCGGTTTGAATGAATGACTTGTGAGTTGTTATCTGAGGGGAATAAAGGTCTGGCGCTCCTGTTTCAGAAAGTTAGCCGGAGGAGAGGGGGCCGGAAAACGGCAGGCTTTGGAGTTTTACTCATTATTTCCTGGTATTATGACCTCTTGCCTCTGATTGGCTAACAGCAGCTTAACTCTTCCAATTACTGTTTGCAATGTTCATTTTATTTTATTTATTTAATCCCAGGCTTTTGGCATTTTAAATAATGCATGTTAGTATTAAATGCCTGAAAGGGAAAATGATGTTTTATCTCTACAAATAAAAGAAGCCTGAAGGAGTTCTGCTGTGTGGTGGAGCCGCTAATGAACAGCTTCTGCTAGCCAATTATGGCAATATATTTTGGTATATTTTTCCTGTGATGTATCAATATTCAAAAGCTGTGTATTGAATTTTTGGAAGAATTTACATGCAAAGATTTTCTTTTCTTTTGGTGCAATTCAGACGCTGACCACTAGTTGGCAGCAGTGTGCAGTTGGTTTTGTTTCCACAACTGAAATGTATGTCCCTATATCATGAATCAGATACCTCGTGTTAAAATATCCGTTTGGACTGTTTATTGAATTTTCCTACAATAAACTCAGTGTAAAAAAAATGCCATAGCTTGAAGCGAGTGATTATCAACATTATGCCGGCAAAGAAAGCACAAAATAAGTCTAAAGTACACTCTTCTCCGAGTGAGGAAGAAGACGTCTCAGGTGCCAACAATCAAGCTAACTCTATGGGTGTTGCTAGCCCTGGGCGTCTCTTAGACATGAGTACTGGAATGGCCCAGAATTTGGATGTTATTCAAATACTCGACGGGATCAGAAGTGACTTTTCCACAAAAATTGGTGTGGTCCTGACAGCAATTCAAGACGTTAAAAGGGATGTGCAGGACTTCTCGATACGCATGGATGGGGCAGAGAAGCGCATCAGCAACGTGTAAGATAACGTTAATTCAGAGAAAGGCAAGACAGAGGCGCTAGTTAAACAAGTGGCTCTCCTCACAAACAAACTCGAGGACCTTGAAAACCGTTCTCACCGATCCAACCTACGACTAGTTAATGTGCCGGAGAAAATAGAAGGAAACAATGCGGTGGCTTTCCTGGAGAAGTGGCTCCCCGAAGCGCTGGGACCAGCGACATTCCCGAGACAACCTCTCATTGAAAGAGCTCACCGGTTGCCGGGCCGGACGCAACCCAATCGACCACCCACACCGAGAGTCCTCATCTAGAAGTTTTTAAACTTCCAAGATAGAGTTCGGGTGATGCGAGTGGCTAGTACCAAAGGGAAAGTTAGCTGTGGGGGCCAAGAGGTCATGTTCTTCCCGGATCTTTCCACAGATCTTCACCGACGAAGGAGGGGTTTTGACCGGGTAAAACAGCAGCTGAGGTCGATGAACATTCGATACGGATTAATCTACCCGGCGAAGCTTCGTGTGTCAACTGATGAACATACGCATGTCTTTGAGACCCCAGCAGATGCGGAAAAATTCATCAAAGGTTTGCAGAACACAGCAATATGGATTATCTATGGGAACTGTCCATCCCTTAACTATCTGCCCATAACAACTGTAGTTTGAAATTGTTGGAGTTACTGGCCAATATTGCTTATCCTTGCTGTTAAACTTTTTGGGCAGAGTATTTATAGGGGTTCTTTTTATTTTTTATTTTTTTCTTCTCGTCATTCTCCTCAGAGGTAATGGGTAATTTATTTACCCCTTGTAGATAAGTGGCCACGTCCACTCATTGTTTGGGCTTTCATTTGAGGTTGGAGTGTTGGTTGTTCACCATATAGTCGGCTCTCTGGGATGAGAGCTATGCTGCAAGAAAGTTTGGAATGATTATTATACGCATATTTGGTCAAGTAGAATACATATTTTTGCCAAGAGTCGCAATTGTTCAGGTGGTTTGGTTTTGTTTGACTATAATGTCAGCTCGACTAGATTTAGCTGCTCCCTTGTTCACATTGGATCAACGTGTGCACTTAACGGCACCCCAAGGTCAGGGGGAGGGTGGGGAGGGGCGAGGGACGGTCTCGATCAGGTTGACTGCTAAGGGGGTTCATGTATGGCAGATTTTATGTTGTTTGTGTTTTTGTATTTTTCACAACTTGTTGCTTTTTACTTGTTCATTACTAGCACAAAAGCTAGGGACACTGAAAGGTTTACCAACAACCAAAAGATGATATATATATATTGCACAATCTGATGTATTATTAAGAATAGATGACTTCATATAAGAATTTTAAATTTACTTCCTGGAATGTGAGAGGAATGGTAAAAGTGGTTAAACTAAAACAGGTTATTACCAGGCTTAAACAACTTGAGTCATCAATAGTGTTTATCCAAGAGACCCATTTACTTAGAGAGGATCTGGTGAAAGTACGTAGGAGATGGCCGGGCAAAGTGTTAGCATCCTGTTTCCCTTCTCATTCAAGAGGGGTTATGGTGTTACTTCATAATTCAGTGCCTTTCCAAGTAAATAACACTATTTATGATAAAGCGGGCAGATTTTTGGTGATTCAAGGAACTCTCTTGAAAGAAACTCTTAATTTAGTTAATGTTTATGGCCCTAATGATGATAACCCTGTATTTTTTGAGAATTTATTTCTATTGATAGCTACCCTTCCGGGTAAGATAATATTGGCAAAAGACTTAAATTGTACTTTGGACCCGAAAGTGGACCGCTCATCAGGGATAGACACTTCACACTCGCAAACAAGGAAAAAAATACAACAATATCTGAAAGATCTTAACCTTTGTGATCCATGGAGAATCCAAAACCCTAATAAAAGAGAATTCTCATGCTATTCGGCAGTATTTAAATCCTACTCCCAAATAGATTATTATATAATTTCTTCATCTTTGCTACCCAATATCACTGAGTGCGTATATGACAGCATTGTTTTGTCAGATCATGCCCCAACGGCCAACCTCACTATTTTATAGGGTAGAACAAGTGAATAGCCGCTCGAACAAGTGGCGATTACACCCTAAATGGTTACATGATTCTGACTTTATAAAATTTGTAGGAGAGCATATTGAGCTCTACTTCTCAATTAATACAACTCAAACAACTGCAGCCATTAGATGGGAAGCTTTTAAAGCATATATTAGAGGACAAATGATAAGTATCACCAGCTCTAAATTTAACAAATTTAAACAGACAATGAACGAATTAAACAATAAAATTAGAGAATTAGAGAGAGAAGTTATCATAGATGATTCAACACAAGGTAAACAGGAATTATTAACCCTTAAAGCTAAATATGAGGAGATGTCCTTGCTTAAAGCCGAGGATGGTCTAATAAGATTGAAGCAGATGTTTTATGATCAGGGAGAAGAGCCGGGTAAGCTGCTAGCTTGGCAGATAAAGAAACTTGAATCTGAAAGAGCCATTAATTTAATTAGGAACGATCAAGGGGAATTACGGATCCCATAGAAATTAATAACACCTTTGTCTTATATTATAAAAACCTATATAATTTTGACAGTCCATTAGACCTGGTGAACCAAAATACTTTCTTGGATAGTGTGGTCTTTCCTTGCATTTCTGAGGGTATGAAGAATGAATTAGAGATAGAAATAAATTTCAATGACGTTTCAGATGCCATTACGAACATGAGGGGAGGTAAAGGTTCGGGTCCTGATGGGCTTCCGATAGACATGTACAAGCTATTTAAAGCAAAATTAATTCCCCCATTACTAGATGTTTATCTGGAATCCTTTACAACAGGTTACTTACCTGCTACATTACGTAGTGTCCTGATCATTCTCATTCTAAAACCAAACAAAGCGCCAACTGAAAGCGGTTCTTATAGACCCATGTCGTTGTTAAATTCTGACTCCAAAATCATAGCTAAGGCTCTGGCTATGAGGCTGGAGAGGGCTCTTCCAGCCTTTATACATGGAGATCAAAATGGTTTTGTTCAAAACCATCAGGGGTTCCATAATGCGAGGAGAGTTCTCAATATAATCCAAAAGTGTGAAGCGACACCTGCCACTGCAATACTATCACTCGATGCGGAGAAGGCGTTCGATCGAGTTGAATGGCCCTATCTAATTGAGGTGCTTAAGTGTTTCGGATTTGGTGATCACTTTCGTAGATGGGTTGAAATTTTACTTGCTAATTCGGTTGCAATGGTATCTACTAATAATCTCATCTCTCATTCTTTTGAGCTATTTCGAGGCACCAGACAAGGGTCTCCAATTTCACCTCTGCTTTTTGTACTAGCCATGGAACCTTTAGCAATAGCAATTAGATCACATCCATCAATCCAGGGTATTAAAATTGGAGAGACGCTACACAAAACAGCAATGTACGCTGATGACACTATTGTGTTTCTATCACATCTCGCAGAATCAATACCATCCCTCATGAAGCTATTCGATCAATTTGGCACTTTCTCTGGGTTCATAGTAAATAAAGAAAAATCATCCATTTTGTTTCTAAATGTAAATGAGAGGATGAAACCAGTTGTGTCCCATCCATTTGTAAATGCCATAGAGGGATTTAAATATTTGGGCATCAGAATAACCCCAAAAATAAGCAATCTTAGCTCAGCCAACTATGAGCCCATGGTAATTGAGGTGTCGGAAGAGATCACTAGATTAATATCATTGCCTCTTTCTTCACTGGGAAGAATAAACATAGTAAAAATGACTACATTACCTCAATTTCTATATATATTTCAGTCAATTCCGCTGGCCCCTCCTCCTCCTCCTTTTTTCCAAGATCATAAAGCTCCTCTCTAATTTCATTTGGAACAACAGGAAGCCAAGACTCAGACTCTCCCTTTTGTATTTTAGTTTACCATATGATAGGGGAGGGCTACAATTTCCAAATTTAGAATGGTATTTTTGGGCGGCTCAGTTGAGGATGACTATGTTCTGGTTTTCAAATGATATTTTCCTTCCCTGGCTAGAAATTGAAAAAATGTCCTCAAAAGATTTGTCATTACATAGCTATCTATACTCAGCACCCTTTAAAACTTTAAAGAAAACTACTACTAATCCAACTGTAAAAAATATTGTTGTTATTTGGCATGAAGTACAAAAAATGCTGAATGACTCTCCAAGCTGTCCTGTTTCTCCCCAATTTGGGGTAATGAACTTTTTGCTCTTGCTAAAAATGACTTGGGCTTTAAAGAATGGCTTAACAAGGGCGTTGCGAATTTGCAGGACCTATACGAGGAACACCCTTTAATGTCATTCAGGGAATTAAGGGCAAAATTTAATATTCTGCAAAAACACTTTTTTTAAGTACTTACAACTTAGAAGTTTTATTCTGGCACACTTAAATAACTCAGTACATCAACCTCCACTGTCAATCCTAGAAACTAATGTTACAAAAAACTATTTTGATAAAAGATTGGTGTCCCAGTTTTATAGCATGTTAGTTGAAAACCATAAGGACAACTCTGATAGTAGAAGACGGGAGTGGATTAGTGACTTACAAGAAGATTTCATCTATTGAATGGAGTAAAATATGTTTCAAAGCACACACTCAAACAATTAACACTTGTTTGAGAATGATACAGTTTAATTGGATAATGCGAACATACATATCCCCAGTACAATTGAATAAATTTGATCCTAATATAATTGATCTATGCTATAAGTGTAATAGACGTACAGTACATACCATTGCCTGTGGAAATGTGAAGAGATTCAAAAATTTGGGATTTCAGTGTTACAATATATTTCTCAGATCACAACTTCCCCTGTACCACTTTGCCCTAAGTTATGTATTTTAGGCTTGTACCCAGATGACTGTACTCTGTCATGTGTGGAAAGAAAAATGATCGATCTTTGTTTGTTACAGGCCAAACGCTGTATTGCATTATGTTGGAAGAATGTTGGTTGCCCCTCCTTTAACCACTGGTTAAACAACGTAACATTGAGTTTAGCTCTGGAGAAACTGACCTATATTGTTAAAGAGAAGGCCTCTGAATTTTATAACATTTGGAAGATATTTCTGGATCTGCTGAGGAGTGGGGATTTGGAGGGGGGCGAGGGGTGAATAAGATAACTAGATAATGATGAACAATGTCTGACGTGTTGTTGGGAATATACTGTGTAACCTAAAAAAATTTTTTTTCTTATTTGCTAGCATTGTTTGTTATCTTAAATTATTATTCACTTACCGTGAATCTGTTAGGTTTAACATTTTAATTATTATTATTATTATCTTTATTAGTAGTATTTTAATACCTGCCATATGTTCATTATATTTTTGTGTTGGATACTGTTGATGGAAGGGGGGTAAAGGGAAAAAAGGGGGAAGAAAAAAACTAAATAAATATATGTTTAAAAAAATGCCATAATTTCACCAGTACACATCCCTAGGTTAAATATTTTTAACCTTTATACAAAAACACATTTCATCATTGCTCAACCCACCTTGTGCTGTAGCAGGCTGCAGTAAAGAGTAGATAAGTGTCCAACACTCACGCCACTACGTCAGTGCCTAACCATATATGGTCATGGGCTATAACCTTCATCCTGGTGTAAAATATTTATGAGCTCATCTAAACATAATTTCTCTTCCAGCACAAAGATCTGTGACTGATTTATAATATTAGTAACATGAGTTTGATGCAAAATTTCACCATCTGACGTGAACTTTAAATGACTTCCTGTTAGCCCTAAAACATAACACACTTAATGTTTTTGAACACACCTCCACAAATGAGCCCAAAACCTGGGAGAAATTTAAAACCACAAGTTGAGTTTCTGACACATTTTCTGTAAAGCCTGCTGAGTATCAGACGCTCCATAAAATGAACCAGCATGCTCTGATCTGTTGACCAGCAAAGGACAATTACACGTGTATTGCTTTTGACATCTTCAGGCTTCATTTTTACACATAAGCTTATGCAAACTCTTATTTTCACAAAGTTTCTTTTACATGAAAATCTTAATTTACAAGATGTCAATATTTAAACATTTTTGGTTTATGAACTATTAGCTTAGCTTCAAGCCTAAGCTAAATGGCTGCTAATGCTGAATTGCTAACTGCTAACACTATAATTAGGCTTCTTGTGTGTCATCATTTCATATAAAATGTAACAAAAATCTGCAAAGCGAACATGAACTCTTGTTCTTGAACCCAAACTGCTCTCATAAGACTTCTGGGGATGACAGTAAGCTGAGGAGCTAGCGCCGTGTCCAGGGAGGATAAATTTGTATGTGGGGTAAAAGGAGGGGGAGGGAGGAGGGTATTTTGGGTGTTAGCGTTGGGGCAGCTGGAGGTGGCGATGGTCCCAGCTCGTCTCAGGTGTCTGTGAACAGAGTCTAGAGGCAGCTGCTCTCTGGTGAGTCTCCATATTTTTGTTTTTAGTTTCTCTTTTCTCTCAACAATGTTTCAACTTTTCTTTTTCATGAACAGATATCTCACAGGAGTACTGTTCGGTAGTATTTCATTTAAAAAGGCCTAGTATTTGCTTTTGGAGCAGTGACCTGAGAAAAGGTTGTTTTTTTAGTCAGTGTGCTGCTCAACCTACATCAAAGACAGACAATATCCTCAGAAAAGTTTAAAAGTTTGATTTAGTATAAAAAATAAGACACATTTAGCTTGACAGCATTGCAGCCACTTCACTGGTTGAACTATTATTTTTGGAATGAAGTTAATCCTGTTTGTCACCAATACCTCATCCTCTAGCTAGGAGCTGTTTGTGTTAGCCGCAGGTTTATTCCCTGAAGCTAGATTATTACAGTCAATCTTCTTGTTATATTATTTTATATGTAAGAGTTAAAAAACATGTTACAATTTATTTAGGTTTCTGTATTGGTAACACTTTACAATAAGAGTTCCTTTATTAGCATTACTTAGACCCCCCTGAATTTAAGTATTTCGGGGTCTTGTTCACGAGTGAGGGAAAGCTGGAGTGTGAGATCAATAAGTGGATTGGTGCTGCCTCTGCAGTGATGCGGATGTTGTGCCGGTGTGTCTTGGTGACGCAGAGGCAACCACCCTGCAGAGAAAACTAATTTCTTTTATCCACGATCTCGTTCTTTTGGTCATTACTCAAAGCTCGTGACCATAGTTGAGGGTAGGAACCTAGATCGACCGGTAAATGGAGAACTTTGCCCTCCAGCTTAGCTCTCCCTTCACTGTCCTCCTTGCCCTGTTAAAAAGTAAAAAGATATTTATCGACAGACCCAGAACAGATTGAACAACGCATCCTGGAAGAAGTCTGAAAATATAAAGGTTTATTCACCCATGACCGAAGGAGTACAAAGTATGAAGCAAACGTTTTATTTGTGAATGCAAATGACAGGAAACGTGGGATTAGAGGTGGCAACCGCATAAAGAGATGGAGGAGAATGAAGGAAAAAATGTGCATTAGTACAATATTGTGGGCCGGATACATGGGTATTATGGAGGCAGGATACTACAGAAAAGCACTACACCCTCTGTTGTCCTGGCGGGGAATTGTTTAGCAACACTCCCCTGCTTGCGTAGAAGTTCGTGTACGTCTCTCTGTTGCAAAGCTCACAGAGAAGTATAAACCAGGCTCTAGAGATAGGGTGAGAAGCTCGGTCATCCAGGAGGGGCTCGGAGTAAACCTGCTGCTCCTCCACATCGAGAGCAGCCAGTTGAGGTGGCTCTGGTCTCTGGTCAGGATGCGTCCTGGACGCCTGGTGAGACCTAAAGGAAGACCCACGGCACGCTGGAGGGACAATGTCTTCTGGCTAGCCAGGGAACACCTTAGGGTTCCCCAAAGGAGCTGGCCCAAGTGGCCAGGGAGAGGGAAGCCTGGGTCTCTCTGCTTGTGTTACAGCCCCCACAACCCGACTCCGGATGAGCGGCCGAAAATGGATGGATGGATAGATGGAACGTTAATAAAAGGATTTTTTGTTTATTTATGCTTAATAATGCACTAAGTAACATTAATAGAGGAATCATTATTGCAAAGTGTTACCTGAGTATCTTTAGGATTACTGCTGTCCTGCAACAACTCTTGTATCATACTTTGACATCTGATTTATTTATTTTTTTACATCTGATTGCCATTTTTCTATATTTTTAGCGTAGGCTTATGTGACTGACTCAATAACTGAATCTGGGTTTGGCTCAGTCGTCTGCATGAACACATTAAAAGTCCTGCCATCTAACCCTAGCGACCTTAATATCACAGCAGGTTTGATGTCCCATTCAAAGGCTGGTTGCTTGTGCTGAAAATGACCCTGCCTCTTCGCCGTGCAGGAATGGCTACCACTGGGAACCTTTCTGAAGAGCAGGTGCACTGCTCCATCTGTCTGGACGTCTTCACCAACCCCGTGTCCATCCCCTGTGGGCACAACTTTTGCCAGAGCTGCATCCTGGGATACTGGAAGACCAGCCCTTTGTATCAGTGTCCCATGTGCAAGAAGTCCTTCCACAAAAGGCCCGATATCAGCGTGAACACTGTGTTGAGGGAAATCGCAGAGCAGTTCAAGCAGATCAGGGTCAAGAGCACTGAAGAGGAAGGAGGAGGAGGAGTAGGGAAATCAAAGAAGTGGACGATGGAGAGGAGGATGAAGGAAGACGAGGAGAGGCTTTTGGAGAAAGATCAGAAGCATCAGCTTCTGGAGGAGTTGAAAGAAAAACAAGAGGAGGAAAGAAAAAAGAAACAGGGGTTGAAGGAGAATCAAGGAGAGGACTTACCGCCATTAATTCCTCCAGCGCCGGCACCCAAAACCTCTCCTCCACCATCCCCCCAGGCAGTAGCTCAGGCTCCATCACCACCGCCCCAAACATCACCTCCACCATCACCTCATAGTCCTGACTCTCCACTTCCTCAGTCCTCCCCTTCATCCCCGTCCCCTTCACTCTTGCTTCCATTGTGGGAGGAGGTCTTGTGTGACGTTTGCCTGGGGGAGGGCCGACCAAAGGCCGTCAAATCCTGCCTGGTGTGTTTGACAACCTACTGCGAGGAACATCTCAAATCTCACTCTGCCAGGTTCACCAAGCACAAGCTGATGGAGCCCGTCGCTAACATGGAGGACAGGATGTGCCCAAAGCACGAAAGGCTCCTGGAGCTGTTCTGTAAGAAAGATCAGACCTGCGTGTGTGTCCTCTGCACTGAGACGGACCACAGAGCGCACTACACTGTCCCTGTGGAAAGAGAGTGGACTGAGAAGAAGGTGAGACAGGTTCACTGCTGTCCCTATAGATTGGGGTTGAAGCCTTAAGTTAGGCATTCAAGTTGGTTCAACTGGGCTTCAGAAAATCGTGTCACCATTACAGACGGACCAAAATGTGACAACTATTGCTAAAATCACACTTGTAATGTTTTTAGGTAATAGCTGTTGATCAAAGTAACCAAGTACTCTAACCAAGAGAACAATGTAATGTTTGTATGAACATCTGGGAAATGAAGGCAACTGGAGCTGTTTTAGGGTGTCAGCAACCCATTTTGGGTCAGGTTTATTTTTTAGTACATAGATATGATCAGAATGGACACCACTTAAAGTGGATTACCGTTGCCTTAAAGCAGCTCTTGTTCTTTGAAATCTCACAACAAATATCCAAATTTAAGTTGACAAACTTTTACACCTTTGTCAGTTTCACAGGTACTTTGTTGCTTGTGAAGTGACAATGTTGGGTTTGTATTGCAAAATCTGCGACTGAACACGAACGCTGCAAAAAAGGGGGTGCAGATAAGTGGTGCTCACGCATGCCACAAATAGACCAGTTCGTTTGGTACAATGTTGCTTTATGTATTGTTTTGCTTTTATTCTGGTTGGTTCCACTGTTGTTATGTGTTTTTACCATTCACCCACCTTGCCCACTGGTGGGGGTCAGAGGGGCCGGTGGCGCCTGTGCTTGGAAAGCCTCGCCTCTGTCAGTGTGTCCCAGGGCAGCTGTGGCTACATCATAGCTCATCACCATCAGTGTGTGAATGTGTGTGTGCATGGATGAATGAAACACTGTAGTGTAAAGTGTTTTGGAGTCGTCCGACTCTCAAAGGGGCTATACAAGTGCGGGTCATCATTTATAGACTAGAACAGTGGTTCCTAACCTGGGGGTCCCGACCCCCACAAGGGGGTGCCAAAGCCTCTCAGTGGGTCGCCAGGACCTCTCCACTTTAAGGGGTTAAAACGTCATTTATTACTTGTTTATAGCCTACATTTTGCTCACACTTTTTTTCATGAGTGAAAAGTTTACTGATATTAAGACAGGAAATAATTAGTACAGAAAAAGTAACACAGTTTTAAGAACATTTTGCTCAGCTCACTGTTTTATTTTCAAGTGTCAAAAGTTCATTAAAGATAGGACTGGTTGATTAATCACAGCGTTTACAGTAATAATCTAGAATAAACAGTAATATACACATTTAAGTACATTTTGCTCTGTGTATTTTTTATGTGTCAAACGTTTATTGAAAGGAATGATTGATTCATCAGTGTTTACAAGAAACAATGTGTTCAGAAAAGTAACACAAACTGTCAAGCACATTATGCTCTGTTTGGTTTTGTTAATGACTTTGTTCTGTACTGGAGCCTACTATTACTGTTATCTATTGAATCAAAGCATATTAAAATGTGCTTGAACATCATTTCTTAATAATGTTTGTACTGGAAGAGAGAATGGGAGGGGGTCGTCAAAAATTTTACTGGTAAAAAATGGGGTCCCTTGGGAAAAAGGTTGGGAACCACTGGACTAGAATATACTTGCCTAAATAAAGGCAACAGGAGTAAGTTAAAATAATTCAATTCAAACCCCTACACAAGGTTTACAGCTAATCTATTTATCGCTCTCATTCTCAACAACCTGGAAGTCCACCCGTTCTGGGAAAGATTCAGCTGAACGTAGATCAACGCAGGAGCCATTTTTCTGGTGTTGGCTGTGTACTGGTTACCAGTCATGTTTATATGAACTTGTGCTGTGCAGGCACAGTTAAAGAAGACAGAAATAGACGTCCAGCAGATGATCCAGGAAAGACAGAAGAAGGTGGAGGAGATCAAACACTCAGTGGAGCTCAATAAGGTGATCTGGTTTCACACGTTAAAGGCATAGTTTAAGAGAAAATACGGTAAAATTCAGGCTGCAGATGAAAGTTTTGTTGGACTTAGCATGTCAGGTGCAATTCTGATGCAACATAATTTTTTTTATGTTGTTATGAATGGAAATTACAACCACTGCAACATTGAATGGGTCCTTTGAAATTTGTGTTTATGAATGTGAAAATATTTGCATGTTCGTCCTTATGGGGTGTCCAGTCTGATTTGTTGTGAGCTGTTCATTCTCAACCCTCCTTACCACTGCACGTGCTATGCGGCAATTAGCGATTAGCCACCGTTATAGTGAATGAGTTCCTTTCCAACGGCAGCTAAGTGGGCCATTTTGGATGCGTCCCAGAAGCGAGGGCATGCTAATATTATTCAGTGGTTTAACTACCAACTCAGACCTTCCTCTAGATCTGCAGAGGCCTGTTAATCATTAAAATCAGAAATTCTGGAGTGGATAACGCCGTTTAACGTACAGGATGATAGCATCTGAGGACCAGAACTAGACCCCATTGCCTTAACCCTTTGATGCATAATGGTCCCTACAGTGGACAGGTACTCAAAATTGTTATTTATTTGTTTTTGCTATTAAACACAGCTGTTGAAGACTTTATTGCATTTAAGCTCCTCCATTTGGACTTCAGTAAGCCAAGCCAACATATTTCATGCTCAGAATGCACGCTGTCCACTGAGATGGACATGTAATAAAATATTTGTAAATTATAAAATTTTACAAAAAGTATTTGTTGAAATTTGTTTCATTCACACCTGAGGATGAATTAAAAACATTGTTAAATAATCATGGTTGAAGATTTCATAATTCATGCATCAAAGGGTTAAAGCCATACTTTGTAACTTTTTCAGATTTTAAAATCATTTTCTTGAGCCAGTGTGTGCCATAAAACCTTTACAAGGTTAATGAAATGTCGCTCAGACCCCACCGCCCTCTGTGGTCAGAAAATTGCACTTGACCTGCTGACCTTTCAGCGCTGCGTCCAGCATGTTTTAGATCATGTACACAACTGATTTGTTTAATTTAGTGACACTAAGGAAGGCTGAGGAAATGTTTCAGCTGTTAGATTAAGGTGTTAAAAGACAAACTCACAGCAAGGAGATGTTTCTCTTTCTCTTTCAATAATGGACACTAGGGGGTGCTAAAAGCAAGCCACAACTGCAAAGTCTCCCTATAAATAAATCTGTGTGCTTTTAGGCCAGTGCTAAGAAAGAGATCGACGAAAGCATGCAGGTCTTCTCGGAGCTGGTGCGCTCCATCCAGAAGGCTCAGGCTGAGCTGGTCTTGGTCATCGAGGAGAAGCAACGCCAGACGGAAAGCTGGGCTGAAGGCCTCATCACCGAACTGGAACAGGAAATCTCTGATCTGAAGAGGAAGCATTCAGACCTGGAAAACGTGGCTCGGACCGACCACATTCACTTCTTAAAGGTGACCCTCGTAAGACAAATGTGACATAAAGTTCACTAGAAAATCCAGTTTTTCACTTGGAACGACTAAAAGCTGTTTGACCAAAAACTCTGGATTTGTGTTTTAAAGAATCTGCTATCTAAAGAAGTTAAACTTCTCCATAATTTTGTAAATGTTCTCCTGCAGAGCTTCCCCTCCCTCAGCACTGCTCCTTCTGTTAAGGACTGGTCTGAGACCAGTGTTCCCACTGACACATGTGTAGGCCTGATCCGGAGATCTGTGTCCAAACTGGAGACTGCATTAAGCGAAATGATTAGCATACTATCTGAAAGTGGTAGGAAATATTATTTGTGTCCTTTTTAAATACATGTTTGAAAGAGTCAGAATCATAAACTGGACTTGGTTTTGTTTTGTTTCTACAGAGATCAAAAAGATTCTTAAATATTCAGGTACTTTAAATAGCCTAATTTGCATTTATTTACATTTTTAAAAGGCCTAATTGAATAAATCCTTCCTGTTTCCATAGAGGATGTCACCCTGGACCCCGACACGGCCAATCCCTGGCTGCAGCTCTCTCAGGACAGGCATCAAGTGAGGCATCTGGGGGCATGGCAGGACCTGCCGGACCATCCCGATCGCTTTGACACTGTGGTCATCGTACTGGGCCGTGAGGGCTTCACTTCAGGCAGGCACTACTGGGAGGTCCAGGTGGGGGACAAGGATGACTGGTACTTAGGGGTGGCCAGGTCCTCTGTCAACAGAAAGGGAAGGATTTCTGTGAGTGCTGCCCACGGTTACTGGGCTCTGGCCATGAAGAAAAGCCAAGGGTATCGGGTGTCAACATCCCCACCGTCACTGCTCTCCCTAGATCCCAAGCCCAAGAGAGTGGGCGTGTACGTGGACTATGAGGAGGGGCACATTTCGTTTTATGATGTGAAAGCTCTGACTCACATTTATACATTTGAAGAAACCTTCACAGGGAAGATTCTGCCCTTTTTCTATCTGTACTGCTGCGACAAAGCCTCCGATACCATGGTGATCTGCCCTGTACACGAGAAAGGCCCGAAGCAAAGCTGAAAACTAGGAAAACTCTTAATTATGATACAAAAATGGGATCTCATGAAACGGTGGCCTTTTTTCCGATGTTTGGTAGCAAAGTATTTTAGCCTGGCAAGCCATCCTATATGTTTGGATATTTACTCTGTGGGGTGGGATCTACAGTTGTCTTTCAAACTGTCTCCTCAGACAATGAACAACATGACATACTCACTACTACAGATGTCAGCCAACGACGCAGTCCTCCATAAACTGTTGTAGAAGAAGCAAATCTATCCTTTTACATAACAAGCTTAAGTTCCTCTGTCTGCTCTTGACTCAAAGAAAAGCTCAAGTCTAAATAGTTCAAAGTTAATGCCAAAGCAGTTTCAAACGAGCCACCGCCATCTTTGTTGTTTGCTCTGTGCATCAAACTGCCCACTAAACCTATAGAGCTGTGCTTTGATTGGTTTCCCAAACTGATAGACTGATAGAACACAAAACTGATTGGGCCAATCCTGGACCTTCTGAGAATCCTGTTGAGTGTGGCTAGACCGACGTGCAGAGCAGAAGCATTTTGCTTCGACTACCGTTGGTCTAGAATTCTAAGCTAAAGGGTTTTGGCTAAATTGTCAAAAATTCTGTGAATTAATTTGTAACATAAAAATGAAGATGTGCCGTTGAAGGTTGTCAGCTATCCAGGGCACGGTGAGTCCTAGAGGGTTTCAATGAAAATCTACTGGACTTACTGAAAGGCCTTTCTCATTAAAGGAGTTATTATTTATTTATTTATTTTCATTTCATGCAGAAAAACATGCAATGTCATGAAATTTGATTAGCAAATTAGCTTGCAGGAAATTTAGGATATAAAGTTTTATGATATAAAGTAGGCCATCTTCATTTATCCCCTTATTCCCTTGCCTGGCCTCTACGGACTCAGCTAAACATTTAGGCGAGCCTAGAGCGTTGACCAAAAACAGTCGCACAAGAGGAACCTGTCGATCAATGAGAATACGCTCCATCCCAGCATGCCCTATGGGGTAATGCAGATGCCTCAGTCAGCTTAGCACACCAACCTAGATTGCATTGAAAAATAATAAGTAAAATTCAAGCTAACTGTGGAAGAGGAGGGAGGGATGGAAACAGATTTGATCTGTACTGGCTCTAAGTAATTAGCTGGATTTCACTTTACATTGGATTATTGTTTTAGCTTGTAGCATTAGCAGTGGTGTGCTACCATCACGAGTGCTGGATTCCTGTCTATTTTCCTCCTTGAACACCACATATTTGATTTAATTAGTGATAATCAGCTCCTGCAGAACCTAATGAAGGTTAAGGAGATGATTCAGCATTTAGAATCAGGTGTGTCTGAGCAGGAACTTATTGTCCTTTAGCGCTACAAAGCTGTTTGTGTAGAGGTATGAGGCATTGCTTTCAGCTCCTTCCAGAAGGGGAGAGAGCAGGAGCTGTAGCCATTCAAATATAAAAATTTTCTTTTTTCTCTTTGATCACCTCTCCCTTCAAACCCCAGCTTAAACAAAGATCTCTCATTTTAATGGGAAAAAGTGATTTGGAAAACAACTTCAAGGAAGAAAAACAAAAGTCAGAATTTAACATTAACTGAGATGAGTCATTTTTTGGGGGAAATTTAATTATTTACATTTTTGACTAAAAAGAAAAACAAAACAATGCAAACATTTGCACATTGTGTTACTTTTACACATTTTAGATCTTTGATGGTAAGGTTGTGTTTTCTATGCTTCCCTACTCTAATTCTCAGGGCCTGAATTGAATAGCCCCATTTTAGAGGTTTCTCTGCTTCAGCACACTTTACATTAACAAGTAATATAACAAAGCTTGATGACCTGCTGAACAGGGGATTTAATCATTCAGTCAAGTGTGCTGGAGCAGTGAAACAGCTAAAACATGCTGGATAGAACACCTCTTTGGTAAGCTAACTGTCAACTATGGTTATTGCCAAGACAAAACCCTTATCATGATTTAATGATACTTTTTTGCCATTTGACTCTTTGTATGCATGGACTAGAACCAAACCCCACACAATAAAGTTTAGTTTTGGGTTATGAGAGTTATTTTAACCCTCTAGAGGCAGGCGTTGCAGATTTGCAACAGTTAAAACCTACTTACCTGGGGCCTCATTTATCAATCTTGCTTATGCACAAAACGGGGTAGGAAAATTGCGTAAGCAACTTTCCACGCAAACTTTGGGATTTATGAAAGAAAACTTAGCGGAAAAATGTGCACAACTTTAAGTTGCTTACGCTCATTTTGGACATGGAGAGCACCTGCAGTGCTGCTGCTGAGAAGGATAAAATTATGAAACCCTGCAGCATTATCACTTGTACTGCTTCGTTTTCACACAGAACAAGAACCCCCACGTGCACACACACGCGCACACACACACCCACATGCGCGCACACTCACACACACGTGCGCGTGCACGCACACATACAGCCTGAAGCGCAGAATACGGAATGCAGAATATCAGCAGGGGGACAGATTGAGACAGAATGTCATGCGTCTGTGACAGTGTGTGTCCTGTCACTGTGACCCGATTGATGATGTGCCCTGGCTACTTGGACAAGGAAGATTTCTGTTTGGCTGATTGGTTAGCACATGTGACTTTCACCCTGGGAGTCTGGGGATCGAATCCTGACTGGATCATTTTTTTTATATCCGCCACAGATCTCTCTAAAGAACTCAGCATTGACGGCTTCAGCAATGTTATGGCACTCCGTGGATTTTCTCTTATTTGTTTTGCAAAAGCACTTCCTTTCATTTCTCTGCCTCACCCACAGGTACCTCAACTTCTGCTTGTGAAATAGCGCTTCCTTGATCTGCGGTCGTGATCGAAATGCTGCAACAAGCCGGCTGATGTATATGCATGAGATCCACAAGGCACTTTGCATTGACTATTTATGGCAATAAGTGGGCGTGGTGAGGGCGGGATGTGACTAAAAAACAGCTGAGAACCTTTCTTGATAGTCTCTGATTTATGAAGCGGAGATTGCGTGCAGCTGTGCGTACTCCATGTATGATAGATCACAAACCTACTTGACGTAAGTACATTTGTTTTGCTGAGCTCAAGTACTGTTTTAGTAAGGATTCTACGCAATGTTTGATAAATGAGACCCCTGGTAACTCCACATACGTATTTCATGAGCATTTTTCAACTCAGAAGTACCCCTGAAGGACTTAGTTGTTCGTCACTTATTTTGAGCCTGAGAGGGTTAAATGGTTTACAATAAATGTCCCATGTTTCTGGAAGCCCAATCGTTTGCTTCTTGTCTAAGAATGGTAAATTAGTTTTTAAGTTTAATTTCAGTAAAACAATGTGGCTTGACCACACCCGAGAACCAGAAGCTGTTTCACCTCCTAACATTGTAGCACATATGCATCGGTGCAGAGACGGGGCATGCACAAGTGTACTTCAAAAGTGGATTAGGATCTTGTAAGAAACAGTAAAATCTCTGAATTTTACAGCACAAATAGAAGAATGCAAATAGAAGAAGAAACAATCTTTAATTTAGGGCCTCTCAGGATAAAAATCACGAGGAGCTTCACAAGGACAAAAATAAAAATAATTTAAAACATTTAAAATCTCATAAAAATTAGAAAAAGGAAATGTGAATTAAAAAAATGTAAGTAAAGGGAGAAAGAAAAAGAATAAGAGTCAAAGGACTCCAAAGTACTTTACACTACAGTGTATCATTCATCCATTCACACACACATTCACACACTGAGGGTGATGAGCTACATTGTAGCCACAGCTGCCCTGGGGCACATTGACAGAGGCGAGGCTGCCGAGCACAGGCGCCACCGGTCCCTCCGACCAACAGGGAGTTGGCTGCTCTCTCAGTCTTTGCACTTTCCTATTGGATGAAAACCAGGAAACTGTGTGTGACGTGGAAGTTCCATGCCTATTCTAACTGAAAAAGTTATGACAAATGCAGGTGTTAACACTTGAAAACCTGAACTGAAAACACAATTCCAGCCTACTTAGATTGGACAGATTGTCTAACAAGATCAGATAGAAACCCGGAGTCAGAATGACCCAGGTCATGCACTAATTATCGTACACTTGTCTTGAAAAGTTTGTACACCCCTGGTTTATAGCATGAATTCATGACAATTGTATAATTAATAAATATACACTGATTAGATTGGTGTCATTTATTCATTTTCTATGGTAGAGCCCAAAATGCCTGTTCTGATAGAAATGTAAACATAAACTGTTCACCAAAGGAAAACAAACAAAACCAAGTTTGCATTAACAGAAGTAAACCAACCTTAAAGCCTGATTCATGCTTCTCCGTCTGCGTCAGTGCGGAGACATGCAACGTCCTTGCGAGCCTGCCGTAGAGCTCCGCAAGGATGGATGGAGTCGAGCTCTCTTTTCTAAACATCCGTCAGTCGAGACGGACAACGCAAGCTTGTGATTGGTCAGGACGCCGCTGTCGTCTACACCGCCGGCATTGCGCCCTCAAAACCATAAAGAGAGCCGAGGATAACTAGCGGCAGACACGAAGCAGCTTGAAGAATGCCTCGCGAAAAAACTAAAATCATGAACGTTTAATTCCCCCATGACTGGAGGAGTGAAAAGATGCACAGCAAGCGTTTTATTTGTGGACGGAAATGATAGGAAACGTGGGTTTAGAGGTGGGGAGCGCGTGAAGAGGTGGAGGAGGCTGAGAGACAAATATGTCAGTGTTAAAAAGTCTCTTATATACAAAAAAATCATGATATAAACACACTATCTTGGACCGGATATATGACATGATACCACAGAACAGCGCTACCCCTCTGTTGTCCTGCTGGGGAATTGCTTTGCAACGCTCTCCAGGAGACGGAGAAGTATGAGAGCAAATCGCTTCCGTAAATCCGTGCGTGTCTGTCCCTTGCGGAGCTGACGGAGAAGCATGAATCAGGCTTAACCCAGCCAAAATGTACACTAGTTTGCCAAATATACTAGGAAACCTCACCAAGTCAATGTAGTAGGGAGTGAGATTGGTGTGGAGGAACATGACAGGTCTGATAGAACACCTTTGGGATGGGTTGAAAGATTTAAGCCATGTTTTCTCCAACATCAATGCCTGACCTCCTCTTGTCTCAATGGTCAAAATCTCCCACGTAGCTTCCCTTGAAGAGTGGTTACAGGTACAACTCCATATTCCACATGAACCCACCACCTGTGGTGAGAAGCATCACTAGAAGCCAGGGGTCTCATTTATCAAACATTGTGTAGAATCCTTACTAAAACCGTACTTAAGCTCAGCAAAAATGTTTTACTTACGCCAAGTAGGTTTGTGACCTATCAAACATGGAGTACGCACAGCTGCACACAATCTCCGCTTCATAAATCAGAGACTAACGAGAAAGGTTCTCAGCTGTTTTTTAGTTACATCCTGCCCTCACCACGCCCATCGACATATAGACTGGACAATTCATTTCCATAGGCTCCAATAATAAGTTTTTAAGCTAACATGGGAGGTGGCCACCACCGGCATTTTGACCGTGTCACAGGTTTCATCAAGCCCAGACAATTCAACAAAAGGGAAGAGAGGTGGAGCTGAGGGTGGGGCAGTAAGGCTGGGATCAAATGACGACACCCGTCAAACTGAAGCGATGTAGCTACAAGCTAACCCAAAGCTAACGCGGAGGTGGGAGCAAGGCTAACGGAGGTAGCAACCTAGCTATAACCGGAGTTAACTGTGCACAACACCAGAGCTTCTGAGTCACAGATACGCCGGGCTGACCGCTGGGTAAAACCGGGTGGAACACAGAAGTCTCCTGAGAGCTCCACAAGCCGCCAGCCCGTGCAGCAGACAAGCGCCGCTGCAATCAGAGATGCACAGGGCTGCTGCTGGGGAAAACCAGGTGGAAAACATCGGTTTCCATCCAAGAGCTCCACAAGCTGGCAGCCCATGCAGCAGACAGGCTCCACGACGATCAGAGATGCGCTGCGGGGAGGGGACCATACCAACAGTCGGAATCCAGCTCCACCAACAGTTATATTTCTACCCATTTTCTAAAATGCAGAGATGTTAAATGCACTGGGTTTTACAGTACATTTAAAATTCATGGTTAAACAGTACATGTTAAAATCTAAGCTCAGCTAGTGCAAGAGCAGCAGTGACCTAAAATACATAAATATAATTTTACTTACCCAAAAAAATGAAGTGGAGACTCCTTGGATGCTCTATTAGTGCAATTAATACCACAGCAAGTCATTTTGTCCAACAATTGCACAAATAACATCCAAAAATAACGCACAAACACTACAACTAATGGTCTAAGTTGAGAGACTGAAAATGGCGGAACAGTTTTAAGACGAGGCCGAGGCTCAGGCTGAGGCCTTTCCATGGAGCTAGCTCTGTGGTCATGTGGGTCTGATGCTCATTAATTATACAGAATTTTAGGCTTTTAATACACTTAAACAGAAGAGTGAGAAAAAAATCACCCCACTCAGAGTTGTCATGAGTGTAAACTCGATAATTTAAACCTAAAACATGTTTTGATACCAGGCTGTAAACATGTTTATTTCTGCTGTGAAATTGGTATTTTTAACATGGGAGTCAATGAGGATTTGCTCGCTTCTGACACCAGCCCCCAGCGGATGAGGGTGGAACTGCAATTTTTGTCACTTCCGTGTTGGCTTCAAATTCATATCAGTATTATGGGGGCTTGACCACGCCCACTTACTGCCATAAATCGCCATTGCAAAGTGCCTTGTGGATCTCATGCATATACATAAGCCGGCTTGTTGCAGCATTCCGATCACGACCGCATATCGAGGAGGCGCTATTTCACAAGCAGAAGTTGAGGTACCTGTGGGTGAGGCGGAGAAATGAAAGGATGTGCTTTTGCAAAACAAATAAAGAGAAAATCCACAGAGTGGCACAACGTTGCTGAAGCCGTCAATGCTGAGTTCTTTAGAGAGATCTATGGCCTATATAAAAAAAAATGGTCCAATCGGAATTCGATCCCCAGACTCCCAGGTGACAGTCACGCACGCTAACCAGTCACCCAAACAGAGATCTCCTGTGTTCATGTAGCCAGGGTGCATGATCAATCGGATCACAGTGACAGGATGCTCACACTGTCACAGACACATGACATTCTGTCTCAATCTGCCCCCCTGCTGATATTCTGCATTCCATATTCTGCACTTCAGGCTGTGTGTGTGTGTGAGCGCGCACGTGTGTGTGAGGTGCGGGCATGAGTGTGGGTGTGTGTGTGTGCGTGTGGGGGGTCTTGTTCTGTGTGAAAACGAAACAGTACAAGTGATGATGCTGCAGGATTTCATAATTTTATCCTTCTCAGCACTGCAGGTGCTCTCCATGTCCAAAATGTGCGTAAGCCATGTCCTTAGTCAACTTAAAGTTGTGCACATTTTTCTGCCAAGTTTTCTTTCATAAATCCCAAAGTTTGCGTGGAAAGTTGCTTACGCGGTTTTCCGACCCCGTTTTGTGCGTAAGCAAGCTTGATAAATGAGGCCCCAGGTGACACACAAAGCAGTTTCCAGGATAGGCTGATTCTTGGCCTCACTTGCTGACTAGAAAGGAGCCAGAGCTCATGTGATGGTTAGGCAATGCCAACTACATAACATTGGACTCATCTCTAGCACAGCTTAGCCTCTGGAACCCAACTCCTAGAGAGAGGCTAGACTGCTTGTGTACCCTTTACATCTTGTGTACGTTTGTTCTGTGTGATCCGTTAAATTCCAAACCATTGGTTCATGTCTGAATACAACGTAGTAAAGATTTGTTTTTATCTGACAAGTTTTGGCTAACACTGTAGCCTTCCTCAGAGATTGGCAGTGCTCTGAGGAAGGCTACAGTGCCAGCCAAAACTAGTCGGTTTAAAAGGTAAAAACAAATCTTTACTACGCTGTGTTTAGATAAGAACCAAGCAGTGGAATTCGTTGAGTACTCCTTCATTTGATCTCAGAATCAGACTATTTTAGACCTCTTTCTGAACCCTCAGATTTTCCAAGTTTCCAAAGGCAACAGGCTGAAGTTACCTCAAATTTTTTTAAACTTCTTTTATTTTGACAGAAACCACTGTAATTTGTTTGACACCAAGAAAAAGCTATGGAATTTATTCTTGCAATGTTGTAAATTAATTGCAATAATGCTTCGATTATAATGTAAATTAATGATATAAAAATAGTAAGATACCATCCATGTAAGGAGGGGGGTTAAATTTTATCTTAAAACATCTCCACGTTTTAGAACTTTTTTAGCTTAGAAGTGTTTTTTAGTTTGGGCTCTAAGCTGCCAGCTAAAGGCTGAACGAGACCATTGCTGCCTGATGTGATAAGGTTATGATTTATAAATGTTAGCTTACATTTGGTTCTTTCCATTACCAATAAAAAGGGTATTCACACATGTAGTTGTCATTTCCTGTGGTATTCTTTTGACCCACGACATGCAGAATCAAAGACGGAAACAGGGAGGTAAGAAAATAATTTATTTTAAAATGGAGAACTCAAAGCGCTGCTCAAACTGATGCAGGAAGTACCAGGATGTTCTAAAGGAGAGACAAAGGTTAATATCCATGAGAGATGATGGGATGGATAACTGAAGGTCTAGGCTTACTGTAATGAGGTGGCTAGAGGGCGTGAGAAGGAGCACTGGTTGGTCTTATGAGGATGGGTTGCAAAGGGGTCTTGATGAAGACGAGGTCCAGAGTTCCTGCGTGGTGAGCTTAAAGGGTTAGGCGGTAGGGGCGTGGTGGAGAGCGTATAGCCGGGAGTTGGAGCTGCATGAAGTGGAGCTGATGAGAAGTTCTTGGAGATGGCTGGAGGAGATAGTTCCTTGAAGGGATAAGAGGAAGAATTATTCTTGGTCCTAGTCTATTAGAAATCTGCTTCACAAAACATTTCTTAGTCTACATCTTAGTCTTAGCTTGACAATAAATCTTTAATCTGTCTCGAACTACCCAGGTTGAGTAATCATCCGGCAAGAGTGTTGAGGAAGTCAGCTCCTTAAATACACCCAGGAGGATGATTGGAGATGAGCTGCAGCTGGCCGTTGCTCCTGCTCTCCAGACATCCACCTGCAGACTCTTAGACCTAAAAACATGGTGAGAATAAAAACAGCCCGTGACAGTAGTTCACTGATGAGTAACTCTTAATTGGAATTTTCCGATTCTAGAGA